CTTACGCAGAGATAAAAATGTCTCATGGTCATTGTGGGTTTCCTGTTTTACAGAGAAAAGAGGTAGAGAGCTAAGGCTAAAGTTTCTAACAGCTTTGTGTTCACAGACATTCATGACCACAATGAAGCTAAACGTTTCCTCAACAAAACACTAATGTGGCTTTTATTAAAGTCTTGGAGCTGACTGTCCAGTTCTAGAACTAGTAGTTTGTTAAGCTTGGAGCAACTGGGGAAATCTCCAGAATAGCTTTATGAAAGAAAGAATAAGCTTGATAGTTAATCTAAGAGTTTCACAATTTTCATGTTACATGTTACCAGGTTCAAGATGGAAGAGTATTTGTGTAAACTAGCAGGAAACCCACAAACACCCCTTCATGCATCTGCAGACGTGTTTCTGCTTAGAAACAGAATTACTGACAACAGTTCGTCAACACATATCTTAAGAGAAACACAGATTAGGACAAACTGGCTGCAGCCCAGTCAGTTGTTGGTTATTTCTGGGTCATGTTAAAGTATACAAATCTAAACACACTACATTTATTTATATTCCAACTATGATTTTGTAATAGATTTATCAAAGGCAGGGGAAATGGGTGCAAGTATGGTAATAACTTAAACAATAAGTCCTTTTTTTAAAAAGAAAACACAAAACAAAAACAAAACAGGATTACTATGCAGGGTTATTGCGCAGGGTATTAACATGGGTAATTATATAAAACTAGCTATTGCTCTGGGTATCAAATAGTAATTGAACATTATACATTGCACAAGTTATTAAGGTTGTAGTGTTGCATTGTAGTCTGGTTGCAGCAGGGATGAATGACCTGTGGTAGCGCTTCTTTTTACAATAAGGGTGTAAAAGTCTTTGACTAAAGGAGCTGCTCAGCTCCTCTACACTCTGGTGCAGTGAGTGAAAAGTGTTGTCCATGGTGGATGGAAGCTTGGACAGCACCCTCCTCTCAACCTGTTTCTTTATATGGCACTTCCACTGAGTCCAGTGGAGGACCCATGCGCCTTTTTCTCCCGCAGACTTTCACCTGCAGAGCAAAATTATGATGTCGGCGATAGAGAACTTCTCGCAATAAAACTGGCTCTGGAAGAATGGCAGCATTGGCTGGAGGGCGCAGAGCATCCCGTTCTGGTATGGACAGATCATAAGAACTTGTCATATATTCAGTCAGCCAAAAGATCCAATCCCCGTCAGTCCCGTTGGTCTCTGTTTTTCTCCCGTTTTAACCTCATAATCTCCTACAGACCTGGCTCTAAAAACATCAAACCTGACTCTCTCTCTCGCCTGTACTCAACCGATAAGCCTGAAACACTGGACCCCGTTCTACCTGCCAGCTGTACAGTACAGATCAAATTGGCCCAAGCTTCTGAACCCGACCCAGGAAATGGACCACCCAACAGGACGTATGTACCCTCTCTTGTCAGGTCCCGTCTCATCCACTGGATGCACTCAGCTAAATTCTCTGCTCACCCCGGTGTAAGCAGAACCCTTGCCTTGATCTGTCACCATTTCTGGTGGCCATCCCTCCACAAGGATACCAAGGAATACGTTCTAGCCTGTCCAGTCTGCGCCCGAAACAAACCCTCTCATCAGCCTCCCTCTGGTCTTCTCCATCCGTTACCTGCTCCATCTCGTCCCTGGTCCCACATTGCTGTGGATTTTGTAACCGGTTTGCCAATATCCAAAGGTATGACAACCATCTTTACAGTCATAGACCGATTTTCTAAAGCCTGCCATCTTGTTTCCCTCAGAAAGCTCCCGACTGCCTTCCAAACAGCTCGACTTCTCGTCAAACACGTATTCAAACTCCATGGCAATCCCCCAGGAGATCCTGTCCGACAGAGGCCCTCAGTTCCCTGCTCAGGTCTGGAAACACTTCTGCTCTGCTCTAGATACCTAGATTTCTCTCTCTTCAAGTTATCACCCACAATCAAATGGACAAACAGAGAGCATGAATCAAGAACTGGAATCCACCCTCCGCTGTTTCACATCCACCAACCCAATAGACTGGAGCCAATATCTTCCATGGGTAGAATACGCTCACAACTCACACACTTCATCTGCAACCGGTCTGTCTCCATTTGAAGTGTCCTTAGGTTATCAGCCACCCCTGTTTCCTACCGATGAAAAGGAGATCTCTGTCCCATCTGTCAACCATCACATCTGCCGCTGCCGAAAGATTTCGAAGGACACCATATCAGCTCTGAACAGATCATCCGCTCAAAACAAGAAATTCTCAGACCGCAAACGACGCCCTGCTCCCACCTACTCACCCGGTCAACAGGTTTGGCTTTTCACTCGAGACATTCCCCTCAAGTCCATGTCCCGTAAACTCTCTCCTAGGTTCATCGGTCCATACAAGATTGAGTCCGTAATCAACCGTCCGCCTGCATCTGCCATCTTCACTCCGAATCCACCCTACATTCCACGTTTCCCAGATCAAACCTGTCCTGACCAGCCCTCTTTGCCCTCCATCCAACTCCCCTCCACCCGCCCGGGACATTGATGGTCATCCTGCCTTCACCGTTTACCGGATCGTGGACTCCCGTCACCTGGGCCGCGGTTGACAGTACCTGGTCGACTGGGAGGGCTACGGTCCGGAGGACCGCACTTGGGTTCCTGGATCCTTCATTTTGGACCCCGCCTTGATCGATGAATACCGTGAGTCTCTGCCATCTACTTCTTCTGGACCGCCAGGAGGCGGTCGTTGAGGGGGGGGGGTACTGTTGGGATCTGGAGGTCTGTCCACTTTTCTCCACCAGAGGGCGTTCTAGGTCTTCTGGAGCTGGAGCTGACTTCACCACCTGCGGCTTGTTTGCTCATCAGGAGACCAGTACATATGAAGGCGGAGAGCTACACTCCGACGCCAGAGTGTTTTGCCAGTTATGGTTAGCAAGCCTGAGCCAACCTGCCTGTCTGAATCT